CCTGTGCCTCAGTTTCCTCATCTGTAATAGGATTGTAAAAGGATTAAATGGTTAATATATCTAAAACATTTAGAAGAGTACTTGTCACTTCATGTTTATCTATTGCTGTATAACGATTCCACAGACTCAGTAGCTTAAAACAACACACATTTACAGTTGTCCCTCATTTATTGTGGTTAATCCGTTCCAGACCCTAGTTGGTTGCACCTGGTGTTGAAGGATTCCTGGGGTGCTTGAATACATAGGCCGATAGTCCATACGTACAGTAATTTTAATTGTAATACAGGGGTGTATAATTGACTCAGACAGCCAAGTGCATGCTGTATCATTTTCACTGTCTCGATCAACTTTTTAATGAATATATTTGAAAAAACTGCGATAGGGTGAAGCCGCAAAAGTCATAGTGCAAAGTGGCGAGGGACAACTGTTTTATTTTTTTGTTTTTGTAGATCAGGAGTCCAGGCATGGCTTAGAGACTCTATTTCATAGTCTCTCACAGCCTGCAGCCAAGGTGTCAGCCAGGGCTGGATTCTCATCTAAAGTTGTGTTTGGGGAAGGGTTGTTTCCAAGCTTTGGTGGTTGGCAGAACAACCCTCGGGTTGTGGGACTGAGGGCCTAAATTCCTAGCTGTCTTTTGGCTGGAGCCCACCCTGAGTTTCTTGCCACAGGCGCCTCTCTATCATCGCAGCTTACATCATCAAAGCATGCAAACTTAGAAAACAGTGAGGAACAAGATTGAAGTCACCTAATCACAGAAGTAACATCTCACCACCTTTGCCATACTGTATTGAATAGAAAGAAGCAAGTCACAGGTCCTGTTCTCACTCAAGGAGATTACTCAGTGGTGTGAAAATCAGGAGGTGGGGGACATTTAGTAAGCACTCTGAGTATTAGCTGTCTTCCTCCTCCTCCTCATCATCATTTTTCTGATGGGGGAATGAGTAAGTAGAGAAGGAGATGGAGGAGAGAAAGGGTAGAATTGAAAGAAAGATGTTTAGGCAACAGGAAAGAAATTCGTGTACAAGTGGAGGGGTTGGCCATATTTTATGTATTGTTTTAAGAGCAGGGAAGCAGGGTAGAAGGCCTCAACTGTGGCTAAGTAGCGTTAGAGGTGCTCTCTCTCTCTCTCTTTTTTATCCTCACCTGAGGACATTTTCCCATTTTTTTGTTCAGATAGAGTGGGAGGGAGAGAGAAGAAGAGAGAGAGAAACATTGATGTGAAAGGGACACATCAAGTGGCTGCCACCCACATGACCCAATCAGGGCCGGAGCAAACTGCAACCGAGGTACGTGCCCTTAGCAGGAACCAAACCCGGGTCTCTCTGGACCGCAGACCAACGCTCTAGCCGGTGAGCCAAACTAGCCAGGGCATCTCTCTTTTTTTTTTTAATCCTCACTTGAGGACATGCTTAGAGAGAGGAATGAAGAGACAGAGAAAGACACACACACACCCACACATCGATGTGAGAAAAACATCAATCGATTGCCCTCTGTATGCTTTCTGACTGGGGATCAAACCCACAACCGAGGTATGTGCCCTGACCAGGAATCGAACTGACAACACTTTAGTGCACTGGATGACACTCAACCAACTGAGTCAATCTGGCTGGGCAAAGTTCTCTTTTGATTGCTGTCTTTCCTCCTTGGAAGAGGAAATCAGGCTATCAGCACAGAGGAAGGAGGAAGGAAGAGGTGTTAGAGGTTTGAGGAGTGAAGAGAACATGTGGGAGAGGGAATTGATTAGGGAGATGGAGTTAAATTGCCAGGCATCTTAAAGAGTTTACTGGAGGTTAGTAGCCATGTATTTCAAATGAGGCCATTTAACATGATTGTGAGTTTTCCTTCAGCTGTTCAGGTGCAAATGTGGAAGAGAAGAAATATAATCAAATCAAATAAAAAATAGATAAATGAAATTAGTAGTAGTACAGATTGGCCTAAATCAGGATTAAGGTTTGGCCAGGCCAATATGATGGACATAGGGGCAGTGTTGTTATTATAATGATGGACTGTGAAATGTCAGTCCTCTAAAGAGAGAAGTGAAGACAGGCCAGATAGGGGATAGTGTAAAGATGTCCGAGTCAGTGATTTGAAGTGATGGAAGAACTGAGGAGAGAGCCATGAAGTTAGGAAATGGTGGTCAGAATGGTTGCTTGACATAGATTGTGGAAGGGATACTGTTATTGAGGAAGTCTTAGGGCATCTAAATATAGGGCTCATTTGAACTGGTAACTTGAGTGAAGAAAAGACACCATCTTCCCCCTAAGAACTTTATTAGGGAATATTATAGCTTGTGATTGATTGGTAGAGTAGGATACTACCAGTAGAAGGTAGTTTTCTCTTTGCATTAGAGTAATTGACAGGAAGTTTCCCTGGAATTAAACATTAAAGACAAAGCAAGAAGCAAAAGCTAATATTAGGCAGTATTTCAAGATTGAGGCCATAGGTAATAATTTAAGGATTCAAGGTTTTATTTGATGTTGTAACAGTATTTGTGCAGATCAAATATTGCACAAATACTGCTCCCCTTTTCAGTCTGTGTGATTCTGGTGGGGTGACTAAAGCTCCCCAAAGCAAACTGCCAATGAAAGGATCTCATCTCTGGTTCAGTGAGAGGCCCCAGGAAGGACATGACCTACTCAGAGCCATGAGAGACAATCACATTTTTGCTGGGAACTTTTGAGAAGAAAGACTCTTGCTCTTCAGGAGCTACTGCAGTCACCTTGCTACACAAAAGGAAGAGTTGTCAAAGAAGTGAGTCAGCATGTAAGAGATGGTGAAAGAGGCCTGGTGACATCTCTGAGCCCTTAATCAAGCCACCTTAAAGCTACCTCTGGAGTTTTCAGTTACCTGGTCAATAAATCCTCTCTGTGTTTTAATGGATTTTCTTCTCATCCATTATCAAAAGAGACCAAATAGGTAAATGCAGTTACGATAGGGAGTTTGCCTAGTCCTCTAAGTTTGTCTGAATAAGTGGAGTGCAGTGTAGTTAAAATTTTGTTAAGATGTGAAATCTTTAGAACCCTCTTTCTTTGATCTTTTACCTTTTCTTTAGTGGTGTAAGAAAGAGGACACCAGACCAATCTGGAGTTAAGTTTTGTATCTGATACTAGCTAACTGGGTTATTTCAGTTCTCTGAGCCTCAGTTTTCTTATCGATAGAATGAGGGGAATGATGAAGCATTTGTGGGGTGATTGAAGGGTTAATTGGGATAATGGATGTCAAATTCCAGCATGGTATCTGACACTGTTGACTCCCTGCCCCCTTTTTCCTTTCCTAACGTTTAGGAAACTATCTGGCACATAGCAGTGTTTAAATAATTTTATTATAAAGAATGCATATATAAATAAACAAATGAGGGTCCCCTTTTGACCCTTTTATTCCCGAATTTTTGCTGTATTTAAAGCACTGCAATTTGTTTGGCTAATAGTCAAGTGGTTCATTTTGCAAATAAAATCTTGCGAAATAGATTTTTTTCTTTCTAGCTTTGGAAGCTCTCTCTGACTCATTTATACATTCATGTTCATATTATTATTCCAGGATTATTGTGGGAAATAATAACGACATTTGACACTCATTGAGTACTTGCTTTGTGTAAGCATTGTGCTTTATGCTGTATATATAACACCTCACTCTTCACAGTAGGATAATTATAAAGGTATGCGATGATTCTAGAGTTCAAACTACTTCTTAGAAGAAACCAGTTAAGGTACATAGGAGGATTCAACATATATTTTCTTAACCATTTTGAAAATTAAAACCCTTCTGATCGCATATATGTAATTACAGGCACAATGTAGTGTATTGGTTATATAGATTCTGGAGCCAGACTGCCAATTCTGGCTCCATCATTTGCTAGTTATATAACCTAGGCTAAATTATATAGTCCCTGGGTGCCTCAGACTGTCATCTGTAAAATTGGTGTAATCAACAGTACGTACCTCATAGAGATGTGAGGATTAAATGCATGAATGTATGGAAAGTAGTTATAATAGTGTCGGGAAAATGGTAAGTGTTATATAGTGTTATCTATTATATTTAATAATTTCTTTTATTTTAGCAGATCCTTCATATTGATCAGTTACAGTCTTATATACATAATAAAACTTAACTTTTGAAATAATCTTAAACTTAGTGGTTTCCTAAATAATACCATGTCAGAGTGTTATGCTGCTCTGAGAAGTCTTTTCTGGTACCCTTTCTCATCACTGAACTTTTATTGGACTTATTTGGGAACATAAGTTAATACTTCATTATTGTTAAGTTATTTGACCCATGTTAGTTTTGTGTCACCAACTTGATTGACTTCAGGCTCTTTGAGAACTAAACTTATTTCTTACACACACACACACACACACACACACACACACACACACATATTTTAAATACTTACCCAAGGATGCTTTTCCATTTATCTTCAGATAAAGTGGGAAGTGGGCATCAACATGAGAGAGACACATTGATTGGTTGCCTCCTGCACAACCCCGAACAGGTTCGGGGACCGAACTGCAACTAAGGTATGTGCCCTCCTTGACTGGAGTTGAACCCAAGACTCTTTGGTCCGCAGGCTGATGCTCCAACCACTGAGCAAAAACGTCCAGGGCCATTTCTTACATATCTTTGTTTTTTTAAATATGTTTTTATTGATTTCTTTAGAGAGAGAGGAAGGGAGAAAGAAATAGAAACATCAGTGTGAGAGAGACACAATGATTGGCTGCCTCCTGCATGCCCCGCACTGGGGATCGAGCCTGCAACCTGGGCATGTGCCCTGACCGGGAATCGAACCGGGACCTCTCAGTCCATGGGATGACGCTCAATCCACTGAGCCACACCGGCTGGGCCATTTCTTACATATCTTTATAGTGCAAAACACAATGAGAACTTGATATTAATGATTATTTATTACAGGCAGAAAGTTAAATGGAAGCAGTGTATCATTTTATGTTTAAAATGATTTGTTAGTATCCAAAACATAGTCTTATTAGTATTTTACTTTGTTTTAGGTTCCTAAATATTTGTCACAGCAATGGGCTAAAGCCTCTGGAAGGGGTGAAGTCGGGAAGCTGCGGATTGCCAAGTGAGTTATTTGTATATTTTTGACATTTAAAAAAGCTGTTTAAAAGTTTTTTATAAGTGCTTTTAAATGGAATTACAGTGTTTTTCAGAATTTTACCTGTAAAATGAGAAGTAATGAGCATGTCAAAGTTAGTTAAGAGATGGTTAGGTGCCCTGCAAGGAGCCGTATGTGCACATGTGTATACACAAACACACTCGTATTGCTCCCCCTACTGACAGGTGTAAATATAAAGTCAAATTTATTGGTAAAACTTACTGGCAAAAAGGAGCAGAGTATGTGGCTCTCTCAACCCTCCATCCTTTGCACATCTTGTGAGGAGGTGTGCTTAGATTGCCATAACTGGGTGTGTCAAATTAAGTGCTTCAGTAGAAGGATTTTGCCAGTGTACCCCTATTGCAAGAGGGTAGAGAACACCCGGAAAAAAATGTAACAGTGTAGTTTCCTGGTGGAGGAAGTGGCCTTGTTAGAAAGGTAATCCTTCAAAGCTCAGCCGGTGTCAGCCAGAGGCTTTGTGTTCCATTCTTACTGTCCATTCATTCTTTTTTTTTTATCCTCACCCAAGGACATTTTTTTTTTGGGCATGTATCGTCAGATAAAGCAGGAGGGAGAGAGGGAGGAAGAGAGAGAGAGAGAGAAACATCAATGTGAGAGAGACACATCGAGGGGTTGCCACTCACACAACCCCAACAGGGGCTGGGAACAAACTGCAACTGAGGTACGTGCCCTTAGTGGGATCCGAACCCGGGACTCTCCGTTCTGCGGGCCGACACTCTAACCTCTGAGCCAAACCAGCCAGGGCTGTCCATTCATTCTTAATCCAGCTCTAACCAGATTTCTATGCCTGCTACTCCATTGAAATCGTTCTTATCTGTCATCATTATCTTCCTCTTTATTAAGCTTTTGCTTCAAAACAAACCACCCCCAAATTTCGTGGTTGAGAACAAAAACCATTTTATGTGCTTATTTCTATGGGGCAGTTCTGTTTAGGGCTGACCTGACTGGTCTTCCTGGCTTGAATGGCCTCACTCATGTGTCTAGTCATTGGCTTGCTATCAGCTGGGGCAGTGGCCATCATCTCCAGCATACGCATTCACAGGATGGTGAAAGAATTCCTAGTAGCAGGAGAGGGGGAGCCCCAGTGCACAAGCACTTTGCAAGCTTGTTCTTGCGTCTTGTTTGCCAAAGTCCTGTTCAATGCAACTCCCATAGCCAAGCCCAATTTCAAGGGTGGAGCAATAGGTTACACCTCTGGGTGTGAGTTGTTGCAAAGAATCTGTGGCCTATTTTTGCAATCTGTCCTATCTACATTCTAAATCTAACAGTCAGTTAGCAGCCCTCTTAATTGACCTTTAACAGAATTTAACATAATTGATCACTTCTATACCCAATCCCTTTTTTTCACTTCACTTCTGGGACACCACTTTCTTGATTCTCCTCTTCACTCACTGTCTGTTCCTGCTCAGTCTCTATTGCTAGCTCCTTCTCATCTTCTCAATCTCTAAATGCAGTATGGCCCTAAGGCTCAGTTTTTAGTTCTTTTCTTCTCTCTCTTTGACTGACTTCCTAGATGGTCTCATCTGATTTCTTGGCATATCAGGTTGATTTAAAGATATATCTCAAGTATGGCCTCTCCCCTGATTTCCAAGACTCATATATCTGACCACCTCTTTGATGTTTCCCCTTGGATATCTCAAAAAGCATCTCAAGCTTAATAATTGTTCTTTTTCTGTTTGTTCTTTCAGGAACACTTTTCCTTTACACATCCCCATGCCTAATATTAGCTCAGTTAGGCCTTTTCTAACTATTCTTTATAAAATAGCACCCAGTACTTTATTTCTCTTATTCCCCCTTGTAGAACTTACCACCATTCTTTCAGCTTCTACAGTGTCCATCTAACATACTGTATTTATGTTTATATGTTGTTCATCTGTCCTGCTAGAGTATAAGCTCCATCCCACAACGTCAGGATTTCTGTCCTATTGACTGTTATATCTCCAGGGTCTAGAACAGTGCCTAGCATAATAGGCACTTAGTAAATTTTTATTGGTTCAATAAATAAAAACTACCGTGACAAATTTAGTAATAATAGCTATTCTTTAGTTACAAAAGAGTTAAAATATCAGAATGAGAACATCTTTTTTTCTAATTAAAAAAATTACTGATTTTAGAGAGAGAGGAAGGGAAAATGAGAGAGAGAAACATCAGTTTGTTGTTCCACTTATTTATGCACTCATTGGTTGTTTCTCATATGTACCCTAATGGGTTCAAACCCACACCGTGGCATATCAAGACAACATTCTGACCATCTGAGCCACCCAGCCAGGGCAGAATGTGAACATTTTTTTTTTTATCTTCATCCAAGGACATTTTTCCATTTTTTGTTCAGATAGAATGGGAGGGGGAGAGAGAGAGAGAAACATCGACGTAAAAGGAACACATCGAGTGGTTGCCACCCACATGACCCAACCAGGGCCGGGGACTAACTGCAACCGAGGTATATGCCCTTAGCGGGAACTGAACCCAGGTCTCTGGACTGCGGGTCAACGTTCTAACTGCTGAGCCAAACTGGCCAGGGCAGAATGTGAACATTTTTAAGGCATACATTTTTCCTGCTTTTTCTCCCTAAGTATAGAACCTAGACATCTTTTTTTAGCTTAAAATGCCCACTGTCTCTATGCAAGGGTTATACTTTTTTTGGAGGAGGGTAGAAGAGGGTGTCATTTAAAAGTTTTCTCATTAAAACCAGTCAGCTGTGGAGTTTGGATTTGGTGAACAGCCTCTGGATTTTGTTCTTTGGAAGAACATTATCCATTTTTGGATATTGCTGTGTTTTTAACAAACTTTGATACTTCATGTGTTTATACCCTTAAGTACTTTGTTCTTTATCTTACTTGCCTTTAATTTATTTATTTAAAAATAGGTTTTTATTGATTTTTTTTTCTTTTTTCTTAGAGATTGTGGATGGGCGAGAGAGAAACATTCATGAGAGGGAAACATCCATTGACTACCTCCTGCACGCCCTCTACTAGTGATCGAGCCTACAACCCGGGCATGTGTCCTGACCAGAAATCAAACCGGGACCTCTCAGTCCATGGACAATGCTCAGTCCACTGAGTCACACTGGCTGGGCAGAACTTGCCTTTGTTTAAAACATATACTTTAATTTGGGCTCATTTCCCAGTAGAGCGTGTGCAGGAGGCAGCCGATAGATGTTTTTCACATCCATGTTTCTCTCTCTCTCTTTCTCTCTCTCTCTCTCATTTTGTTCTGATAAGATGTGGATTAGAAGCAGGCATGCTTTTATATCTGAAGTTTTTTTTCTTCATTGATTTTTACAGAGAGATGAAGGGAGAGGGAGAGAGAGATAGAAACGTCGATGAGAGAGAACATTGATTGGCCACCTCCTGCATGCCCCCCACTGGGGATCAGGCTCACAACCTGGGCATGTGCCCTGATCAGGAATCGAACCAGCGACCTCTTAGTGCGTGTGTCGACACGACTACTGAGCCACACCAGCCGGGATATATCCGAAGTTCTTAAAGTTGGGTAGAGACAGGCATTATCTTCTTTGTCAAAAAATAACTACACATTTAATAGTGGAATCAGGTTTGAATTTAGGCCTTTGAGTGGTAAGAAAACTCCAGCAGGTTCTAGTTCCAGCTCTATCATTTACTTTGTACAGGTCACTTAATCTGTGTTTACACCCTTATCCCTAAAGTTTCCTGTTTTACAGGCCTTTTATGTTAATCCAGTGAGATAATATGGAAATAGTTATGATTTCTTTGTATGTTTAACTTTATATGTTTATAAAGTGAACATGTTCTTGGAAAGTTGTAGATAAATCACATTTTTTGTGAGTTCTACTTTTATTGAAAGAAAAAAGGAATGCACACTTTTTTTAAATCCTCACCCAAGGATATTTTTCCATTTATCTTCAGATAGAGAGAGAGGGAGAGAGAGAAACATTGACATGAGAGGGACACATCAACTGGTTGCCTCCTGCATGACCCCAGCCAGGGCCAGGGATGAACCACAACCAAAGTACGTGCTCTTGATTGGAATCAAACCCATGGCTTATTGGTCCACTGGCCAGTGCTCTAACCACTGAGGCAAAGTGGCCAGGGCAAATGTGTACTTTTTTTTTTAATTCTCACCAGAGGACATTTTTCCATTTTTTGTTCAGATAGAGTAGGAGGGAGGGAGAGAGAAACATTGACGTGAAAGGGACACATCGAGTGGTTGCCACCCGCATGACCCAACCAGGGCCGGGGACAAACTGCAACCGAGGTACGTGCCCTTAGTGGGAACCGAACCCGGGTCTCTCCGGACCACAGGCTGACGCTCCAACCGCTGAGCCAAACTGGCTAGGGCCGAATGCGTACTTTTAAGCAAAGTCTGTGGTGGTCTTTTTTTCTGGAATCCTTGGTATTGAAGATAATGATCTACTTTTTCTGTTTTGGGCTTCAGAATATCTTACAATTGATTTTACTGGAAATAAGAGCCACGTAATAAAATCTTGGAATCGTATGTCACTGAAAAAAGACAGGGTAAAGGAAAAATGTATTTAAATACTGAACGCATAGTACAGCCGGCCCTTGTTTATTGCGGTTAATCAGTTCCAGACTCTACTGCGATAAATGAGTTTCCGCGAAGTAGGATTATTTATGTATGGTTGTCCCTCACCACTTTGTGCTTCGATGTTTGCTGCTTCACTCTATCCGTATTTTTCCAATATAGTATAATGTTTGAAAAAACCGTGAACGTCGAAGTGCGAAGTGGTGAGGGACGACTGTATTATCAAATGACCACACTAGAGCTCAAGACTGGGTTCAGGTCCTAAGTGGCTGCTGATAGTTGTCTTTGGCCTTGGACCTTAGTCATCTCAGTCTTAGTTTTGTTGTTTGTAAAATGTGCATAATAATGCCTCCCAACCAACCCATAGAGTGTTTATGAGAAAAATGAAATAGCTTAGGGTTTGTTAAAATGCTTTGTAAAATCAC